TTTTCAATATCACTCCAAGCATCTTCAAATTGTCCTTGTTCCCTATAAATAGCACTTCGTTCACACAATGCCAAAACGTTATTTGGATCTCGTTGGATAACTCGATTCAGATCAACTAAAGCTTTATCATATTTTTTATATATTCGATAAATTGAACCCCTATAACATAATCCCAATGTATACAAACTATACGAAATTTCAGACATAAGGTCAAATTTGGTTTCCAAACCTATTTTCAAATCTTGATAAGCCTCGGGATACTTTCTTAAAGATAAATAAATTCCAGCTCGAGTAACATAGAATTGACATGCATTTTTTGGTTGATCTATATTATTATTTAAATCATTTAATGCTTCTTCGGATTTACCTAGTTGTTGATAAATTTCAGCTCTATAACATAATAAACTAACATTTTGCGGAAATAATTTTAATCCTTGATTAAAATCTGATAATGCTTCTTCGTATCTACAAAGTTTTGTTAGAATCCTTCCTCGATTTAAAAGAACTGCCTTGATGGCTTTTTTATCACTTTCTAAATTAGATTTGGGATCTAATAATTTGTATAATTTATTCCAATCCGATAATGAATCAATATATAATGATAATGACTCACATAAATCTGCATGTTGATGTATAATTTTAAGATTAGTTGGTTGCAATTTTATTATGGTTTCCAAAGCTAATCTAGCTTCTTTCTGATTCCCTAGTTCTTCATAAGCTGATCCACGGAGTTGATGTATTTGTGATATTATTGCAGGGTCTTGTGTGAATTCTAATGCTTTATCCAAATCTGATAATGCCTTTTCAAATTCTCCTAATTTAAACAAAGTTTCACCTCGATCAAAACAAATATATTGTTCATCTTGTGGTTTCATTTCCAATGCTTTATTGAAATCTGCAATTGCCTCTGGATATTTCTTCATTATTAATAAAGCTTTGCCTCGATACCTATATCCTGATGAATGATCTTCAATTTTTAATGATTTATCCAGGTCTTCGCATGCATTTAGATGAAATTTTGATAAAAAATTAATTTTTCCACGATTTCGTAAAAGTCTTGGATTTTGTGGGTCCAATTGTAATGCTTCATCTATATCATAGCGCGCATTAAATAATAATTCTTGAACTCTATAAACTTTAGAACGACTTAATAAGGCAAATACGCTTTTTGGGCAAAGTTTCAAGGCATGATTGAGATCAGCTAACGCATTGTCATATTGTTGTAGTGCACGATACACGTTTCCTCGATCTGATAATAATTTTATATCATTTGGATTGGACTGTAGTTCTGATGTTAAACTTTTTAATGCATCTTCATATCTATAGTAAAGTAAATATTATGTAAAATAATTCGTTGACATGTACTAAAGAAAATTACGAGGCTTGCCTTTTTAAACGAATAAGAATTTGGATCCGCGTATATTCTGCATCTTTATCTTTAGGATTAATGTATAATATAAAATTTATATCTGATAATGCGTCGTCGAATCTTTTCAAAGCATTAAATACTTTAAACCTGATAAAATATCCTTTGGTTTTCGTTGGTTTTTGTTTTATTGCCGTGTTTAAATCTTGTAATGCTTTTCCATATTCATTTTTGTTGAAATTGGCATTTCCACGTTCACATCTTATGGAATAACTTTCCGGATATTTCTTTAATAATTCTGTCCAATATTCTGTTGCTTCTTGGTATTTCTTTTCTTTCGTTACCTTGACGGCTTTCTGAAATGATGGATGAAAATGTTTCGGAATTTTTGGTGATTTTATCGAGAAACCAAATACCGATCCAATAGATTTTGTTTGAAGATGAGATTTACTGTTGTCCATTGCTTTTGCGGTTTCTTGTGAATGAGTTATTTGCTCATTAACTGTTTGTGAATTCGTAAGTAAGGATGCATCTTTACAAAGCTGTTTGTAAAAAAGAATAAATATGTATATATCTGATATATATCGAAACTGTGATCAATGAATTGATGTATATACATACGTACCTTGCTTGCCAGCAATGAATCACTCTTATACTTGTTTCTACTAAAATTTAACATCTTATTTTTTGTTTTTCCAT